AATGTTAAGTATTTTGTGTTATTGCTAAGGGAAAAACTTTTCATATTAAGACCAATAGAGTGACATTGAAGTGATGGAAAAGAAATGGCATAGAAAATGTGAAATATAAAAGATTCAGGCAGTGAGTACAATATAATAAACTTTCGAATGAAGGAATAGAAAAAATAAAAAGACTACCTATAATGCTTACACGCACGTATATATATATATATATATATATATATATGCACATAAACATAACATTCCGTAGAACAGAAAGATAAAGTTCTTAAGGCAATAACAAATATCAACCGACTGGTTTACAAGCTGTGTTCTTTTCATTTTATTAAAAAGTCGTCTCTACGAAAGTAACTACAAAAAAAACTGTAGTTCTTTTAATGTATATAAGTATAGAGGTACTTAAATTTGGGTTTTTATGCGTTGTACTAGAGTTTTGCTTCTTTTCTTTTTGTTTCAGTTGTGTGTAAGTGTGAGTGAGTATGATTACCAGTAAAGAAAAAAAAAAAAAAAAAAAAAAAAAAAGAAATGGGATAAGCAACAGGTTGTTTGAAGTGTTTATTTTTTCTTTTTTTCTGTTTTTCTTTTCTTTTTTTTTTTAATATAAATTCCATAAGTTCGTTGGCTTTGAACTAAACAATGCCTTCCTCAAAGAATTTGTTGAGCGTATTAAAATTTTGCAAACATTACGAGTAGTATAAAAAATAGGAAAGTGAGTCTTTCAACTTTACAGGGATTTACATATTCACATAGACCTTGATCTTTCCATCTTTGTGGTGCTTTAATATTTTTAGTTAAAATTCTCATCTTTTAGTATCTAACGCTTTGACGCCAGACAACGATTAATTTTCTTGCTTAATTCAAAGCAAATTACTGCCGAATAGTGACGAATGATAAAATTGGACGTAACACATTTTGGAAAGTTCAAAAGACTGCACTGTAGACGAGATGAACCATTAAAGTCAACGCAAGACCGCAATATGTGAAAAGGCATTAAAATCCATTCTTGCCAAACTTATCCGGGAAACTTTAGCTACACTGAAATATAATGTGTTACAAAGTACTGAGCTACTATCCATCTGGATGAGGTTTTTCTTTTGTTATAGCGATACCCGGCAAAAGGAATGCGTATTGTTCACGGATAGGCTTAAAAGACTTTAGCTTTCCTTTAGAAAAGGAATCAATGTTCTGTCAGAAAGGTGCAAAAATATATATATATGTAATAATAAACGATATTTCGAATATAAATATTTTTATCATTTCCTTGAAGTAAATTGTGATCTTTTCATCCCTTAAAACCATGAATTTCGAATATTAATGAACAAAATTTGGAATCAACCTGAAAATGGTGGGTGTTAATGGAACAAATACAAAAAAGAAAAAACGAGAATGTTGCACTGATTCAACATATCTGTTTCGTACAATAATATAGTCCCTCAAACATAAATAATATAACGTGTCATTATATTACGGATAGGAAGGAACATTGCATTTGCTGCATTACCACTGTGTAGTACCCTTACATAGCGCACTGTCACACCTCAATCTCTTTGAAAATATAGACCAGTGAGCAACATGGCCTTTTCGTACATCCGTAAACGGCAAACGATAAGTTGACCAACTAGTCGTTTTTCGCCTATAAATTTTTCTATAATTAGCCTCTAGTAGGCCGATATTTATATGAGATTGCACATTGCAAAGAGCACCAGTCAAATCATTGCAGAACTGATCAACACGTGTTGGTCGTTTGTTTGGAATACCTTTTGCAATAGAGCTTTCTCCGCTCTCTCACTCCTCGTTTCCACGCATTTACGGCAAAGTCCAATAGACGATAGAATGGACGGCTTTTGACTCTTATATATGCGATGGCGATCTAAGTAGCTTTCCATTAAACCCACTTCACCCATGTCCATATTATGCTCTTGTACTATTTTTGTATAAGAAATATCGATCTTATGCTTTAGTCGTTTATCATGTGTGGACCATGCCCACACAAAATTCGAAGTGATTATATTTATTTTTTTTTTTCTCACCTTTTTGAGGTTTTTTGCTTATCTATAACAAGGCAAGTTGGACGAAATCTTTAAAACTATAAGATATTATATATTCTCTACCTAAAAGTGGGTTAAATCTAAAATGACGAGACGTGGTGGATCAGTTATTTCTTAATAATACCAGCGATATGGGTGTCAAATTAAAGAGCTTGGCGAGTAGAATGCGAAACGAATAGTGGTGGGTATCTTAAATTCAGCCTCCGCGTAACATGACTTTCGTACTTAATTGTATATCGAATTTCTTCACATCATATTGTTATGCAAACGACAAAGCGTAAGGTTTTTTCCTCGCCTTTGTAAGAAATATGTGCTTTGGCGGAATTCTTTACGATCGTTCGATTTTTAGTTTTTTTCTCCATTTTTTTTTTTTTTTTGTGTGCAAATGGTATGGTTGCAGAAAGTAAAATAAATCATTAAACCTGATGTACGTGATTTTATGTAAAAATCAGTGAACACATTTTAGAATGGTCATGACCAGCGCACAAAATTTGCGTACAATTATATCTTGAAACCTGTGCATTATACCACACGCAGTTCGTATGAATGAACTAATCTGCGGTTAATAAAGGGGTGTGTTTATTTTGGCACTTCTTCATTTTCTTCTTTTCATTCTAATTAAACTCCATCTGCTATGCTACGTTCGAATGAAGGTCATAGAGCAAAGAGCACCATAACTTGTAATCAAAGAGTAAGTATTCATATGTTGTCAAATGAATGCGACACGTTTGTAATTATCAAAGTAGTTTGAAGTTATAAATATAAAAATAGCGTAAGATGATTGGACGGAAAGCTTTCGTCCCGCATATAGCATACAGTTTTTAATTTTTTAGTTCAATAATTAATAAATTTTTTGTATTTTAAACTGTTTTCTTTAGATTTTTGTTTAATATTTAATTTAAAATTTTTATTCTGTTGCTATTATGTGTACATGTAAAATTTAATATTTAAGTATTTTGATAAAAAAAAAAAAAAACACAAAAAAAAAAGAAGAAGAAAACGTAACTTTTTTATAACAATGCAGTAGTCAGCACGTGCGCAGAAATATAAATATTTAAGAAAATCTAAGCTAAAATAAAATAAACTGAAAAGGAAAGTAGAACGGAAGGCCCGCGCTAAAGAAAAAGTGAAGAGAGTAAGGTATTGGATTTTGCACAGGGTACAATTTACACAGAATATAAAGCCATTTCAATGCACATAAAAAATAAGTGCACAAGTGGTTATGCTCAAAATGAGATACAATGCGAACGTTATCATGTTTAGACGTTAGTCGTTGGTCTTTTTCTTTTTCTTTTTCCTTACTTTATTTTTATTATATTCGTTCGTATGCATGTGTGTATTATAAACTATATACAAATTGTTAAAAGTCTTCGAAATTGTATTGCGTTTGTGTTCTTTGCGAAGCATCAGAATAGGACATGGCGTTTTTTTTATTTTTTTTTTATCTAATTTAACTAAGGATAACGTAAAGAATCTTTGATAAGCTTTTGTATCATATCAAGTAAGAGAAAAACTTTTCATTGCTATATTTTAGTTGAAAAAAACAAAAAAAAAAACAAGAAAAAAAATCAGAATAAAGGATAGGTAGTGGAAGTTTATAAACGACTTACGTTGGTGTTTCGAAAAGAAAAATGTTATAAAAGTAAGAACCGACGATTGGAGCGTATCATCGCATTAAACAAATCTAATCAACGTGCTGCTCTGCTCTAGCTAATAGAAAAAGACAGCACACTTGAAAATTTGACTAAGTTTAGAAAATCTTTCGTGGAGTGTGTAGTGGGGTGAGAACTAATAAGATAAACCAAATCTGCATTTGTTTCCACGCGTAGAATGGGTGGGAGAAATGGTATCAAAATGGTATTAAATTCGTGTAGTTGTAATTGCAATCTGGTTGTTGTTGTTGTTGTTGCAGGTTACGAAAAGATGACAAATCTATGCTTATATTCCATTGATGGTTCCTTTCAGGCTAACAACACTATATTAAATGTATTTTTTTATAGATGATCGTGTTCGTGTTCGTGTTCGAAGATTTGCTGAGTTCAATTAAACATTTTTAGTTATTAATAATGTTTATTTTTCAAAAGAAAACATGATAAAAATGATAAAAAGAATTATATTCGTTGTAAGCGGTTTATTTAAGTTGCAAAGTACTTTAAAATGTGCTTTTAATTCGAATAAAGTTTTCCATAACGGTTGTATTCACTTTTTAAAGGCAGCTTAATATTTTGTACGTATGCTCCCCGCCACACACAATCTACATTATGAATATCGTGAACGCTTGACCAAATCAGTATCAAATATTTATTGAACTTATGAGTGTCCCTCTCTCCGACCGTTCATTTTTTGCCAAAATATCTCAAGTTTTCAATTATTTCACTATTTAATATTATTAATTTTTTTTATAAATAATAACTTGACTTATAAATAATTATTTTGTTTCCATGCGATACGCATCGATATTATTAATGTTCTGTTAAGTACTTTTAAATATATAAGTACAAGCTTTCATCATTCAATAGGTAGCCTGCTAAAAGTCATGTGCGCCTTCACTATTCAAAACTAATAATTTTCCTTTTTTTACTGTTTATTTTCCGGTTTCAGGCTGCTTTAAGTCATCACTTTAATTATTTCATTTTATATTATTTCATTATTCTCTTCATTATTATCATCGCTGATAGGATGACGAATAAATAAATGCCTTCCTAAGCCGATTATAATCACTTAGTTATTTCTGTTAATTTGTATATCATAGTTTTCTTTTGCCCGTTATTCAACTGAGATTTATCGAAAAGTAAAATTTAATTATGATATGTAAACGGAATAAAGTAAAGTAAAGATACGCCAAAGAATATCCTCAATTATATATTAACCTTCATTTATTTATTATTGAAGATATTTAAAAATTATCCTAATAAAATTATTATTATCAATAGAGTCAGATAGAAAGCTTACCTTCTCTTCTTCGAGGATCTTCGCTTCCTGCGTAACTTTTTGTAAGTGAATGTGGTGGTCGGCGAGACTGTATAATCTTCATCGAATTCCATTTCAAGTTTGATTAGATTTTGTAAATTCAATTGGCAGTCCTACCAAACGAATAAAAAAATAAATCGTTCATACAGTAAAAAAGAATTTAAAAAAAAAAAAAAAAACACCAGATTTTAAAAAGAAACGGATGAACGTATAAAGAAGAAAGTAATCGTTTATCTATTTCTATTTCCCACTAGAAGAATTGTCTGATATTAACTTATTGCCTGCGAAGAGTTGGATGGCATAGTTTTAGATTAGTAGGGGGAAAAGTAATGTGACATTTGTAAAATGTCTACAATTTGCGGCCGTCTTCAATGTTTAACTTGAAGAAGATCTACGCGATAGTAACCAGCATATAATGCATAAGGTAAACGCAGAGAACAAGGCGCATACCTGTATATATGGTATATGTGGATAAAAATATACATTGACACATATCATTACATATATATAATATATATGCATTACTATTATTATTTATATATATATATATATATATATATAAAGTGATAATGAATTCTATTCCTTTTTAAAATATAAACGTTACAAAGCTTAATAATCGAAGTATGCACCTTAATAATTTACGAGCTTATGCCTGTTATCGGGTAGTTTGTGGAGGAGGAGTGCACGGTACAAATTTCGTGATTGTGACGATAGTCATCGATCCAGTCCATTTTTGTACCTTTTTAGCTTTGCAGAGCAACTGCTCGGCAGGACATGTCTACATCGATCCAACACCAGTACTAAGCAGAAGGAAACAGGTCTGGGGAATAGTCTCCAATCGAGAGAGTGAAAGTTCCCAGCCTGAGTTAAGATTAGTTGCTGCATTGCTTTGGCTGGAGACGGACGGACACTGAAACTTATACCGTATAAGTACCTATGCCCAAGTTGCCTACATCGAGAATATTAGAAAAATTGAACGCATCATCTAGGTTTTATGAAGTAACCAATTTCGATGGATAGAATTCATTGGCACACCCGTTATATATGTATGTAAATGATATATAGATGTCTATATACAATGTCACAAACATACAAAAAATAAAACAGAAAATACTGTCGCATCAAGCTGACGTATGCATGTTGAAGCATTTTTTCCACTGTCACTAGCACACCGACATTCACATAGCATAGCAAGACATACACAGCAAGATGTAAACGTCACTATCAAGCAACACCATCATAAAATCTTATATGCGTGCAATTTATATGGTCGCGTTGCTTCCACGACATTCCAGTAGGAGAAAGCGCATTATCAGCGCAATTGGTAGTCATAAATACCGACAAAAAGCAAATGAAATACATTAGGATTTCGAAGCACGCGTACATACGTTCATGCAGACACATTTACGATATCCTTACATTCATATATATAGTTTTTATTGTTATTCTTTGTTATCGTCTGCAGTTATTTCTTCTTCTACATTAAATAGAGTTCTTTGTATTATCTGTTTTATTCCCTCCCCACCTGTCACTATTTTATTGTATTTTAACTTTGTGTTGATTTTGTTTTTCTTTAACAATACCGATCGCAATGAGAAATTGCAACTTACCTCAATTGTTTTAAAATGCCATCGTATATCGATAGTTCCGATGCCAGCGTTCACATCGTTCTGGCAAACTGTTAATGTCGGCCAACACTGGCAACGTTTGTTGGTTATTTCGCAACCCGATTCTATATATATTGTCTCCGAGTTTGTACAATTTTTTAAATGATGCTGTTGATGTTCGTGTTGATACGTGCTGGGCCAGATCGCATTAATTGAGGAAAATGTTAAATCTGAGAGAAAAGATTTTTTATATATTTTTTTTTTAATGCTAAGTATTATCTTGTTTTTCTTATTCTTCTTCTTCTTAAAATTAAAGAAAAATCTAGTAAACATGATCCACAATATTTCAAGTCAATCTTTTTACAAAATTACTGCTGAAAGTGCCTTAACTCTGAAAATGTTTTAGAAAGTTCCTGCAAAAACACACACAGGTACATATAAGATTGATCTTTGGCTTTATTTGAAAGATATACCAGGGAATTCCATAATATCTGTGGAAATCTTTCCTACAATGCGATAAACGGGTAATAGGAATGGTATTAAAGCATTGGTTGCAATAAATTTTAAAAGCACTACAACAACTTAATAATACATTTTCAAGTAATAAGTAAAATTAACTTCATTTAAGAAAGTTTACCAAAACCTCGTAACGTAGCCGCTAGTGGAAATTTAAGGTTTAGATGAATAGGGTGATTAAAGCATTTCATTATTTCCCGTTTACACGATCGAGAGATAGTGTCATAAATCCCATTAGCACCATTCTACTTGGGGCCTTTAAGTTCATTCTAATGAAATTTTTAATTGATAATAGTGTAGGCTTCTAAGGTAAGATCCTTGCAATTTAACAAATGAAAATTGTTAACTCAAAACATATTTCTTTGTGCGTTGCAATCAGAATTTATTGAAGACCCCAGCTGCCAAGACGAAGAAAGTTCAAACGCGGGAAAATTTTGTGTTTTCCTGATCATCGTGGTAGCCTACAGCTTACAATTATTTTATAAGAGCAGCAGATATCTTCTTAGACAGCATATAGTGTAGGACTTTTCATGTATACTCACTATGTCACAAACCGTCGCTACCTTTCCTTATAGATATTTAATGGTCGCATAGAAATATCGGCACAGCCTGCTATCAGCCCATTACCGCAATAGTCTGTTCATAATGCAGATTTGCATAGTAGAACAATTGCATAGAAAAGATTTGGTTTTTTGTTTTTTTTTTTTTTTGGAAAGGAAGAGATTTCTTTCGCTATATAGTTTAACACCTTTATGTGCAGTCTCCCAATGCTTGAAGCATCGAATCGAGACAAATATTTGGGAAATTTTTAATGTAGTTTGCATGTCTGTAATGAACAATGTATTGAAAATTTTTGTAAATTGTCTTTTGCTTCAATTATCGTTTGCTTGTGGCTTTTCTCTCTACTTGGGAGTTTACAAGCCTTTGCTGCTATTTCAAGAATCAAAACTGATATGCATAGAAGAGAATATTTTCATATTCCATAAAAAATAGTTGTACGAATAGCGTACGAATAACTGAATTTCAACAGAACATCATCTTATGTACGATACTTTTTCTGCATTATGCAATGCAAGGAAAAAGAGTTGTTTGTTGGGAGTTTTCGTATGCAGTTCTATGTGATGATAAAAATACCAGCAATATATTTATGCGATATAATTATCATAGTTTCTTTGTGACAATACAACGAGTCTTGGCGAGTATTTAAAAGTCGAACTAAACTTTCATACCTTTTTTTTTTTGGAAAATTTTTATTCACTATATATTATAATATAAAAAATTTTTGTTGTAAAGCTAGTAAAAATTTTACCAAAATCGTTGCTTATCTCTTGCAACAAACACACACTGTAGAAAAGCTCCACATTTAAGAAATTGTTATAAATTTTCAGGGTTATCACGTCGAATACGTGATATGAATTTTTTAAATTTATACATAGCTATACAACTCAAAAGCAACGGATTTAAGTCAGCCAAACCGTTAACCGTAGGGAAAAAGTTAGTGACTAAATACACATATACATACAATATAACAGAATTCAGGTGGTCTTTTATTTTTACCTTTTTATCTTTGAAGAGATTTATGTGTGACAGTACAAGCGCACGCACAAGCCCAACTACAAGCACAAGCACAAGCACAAGCATAAGCACAAGTACAAGCACAAGCGAAGAAGAACTAGTTGTGTGTGTTTAGCTTTCAAAAGGAAAATGAATGTGTAGCTAATACATAACTTGTTTGTTTTGAGAAAGAAAAGACAAATGAAAACCCACTTACGCAGAAATAGTTGCCAGTGCTGCATAAGGTACAGTGTAACGTAACTAAGTATATCAAAGCCCAGTTTATCAATGGTTTCAGTTTTATATATATATATATATATATATATATATATATACATTTCTGTATACACGTACGTGTGTGGTGTATATACATTTATGTGTAGATTGATGAAACCAATGCTTAATGTAGGTAGAATTCTTGCTTGCTTACGTTGGTTGATAAATGAAAAGGTTTTGCTTAATCAATTGTCAAGAAGAACCAAAGTTGTTTAGAAGCGCACGCACTGTATAGCAACAATGCTGATTATTATCAATAAAGTTTTTTTTTTTTTTTTTGTTTAAATTATGAATAGGCAAATCCAATATTTTTATGTTTGTACAAAAGATAAAACAGCAATTGATTGAGAGATTATAAGCAAATAAAGCAAAGAGTTCTATGTTTGTCATTTTAATTAAATTTTGAACTAAAAAAGACTTTAACATTATTTTTATTACTACTATTCAGTATTCAGTTTTTAATTTAGAGTCAAGACCAACAAAAAAAAAATAAAAATAAATAAATAAGTAAATAAATAAATAAATAAATTTAGTGCGTATAATAATTTCGAAGGTACTGCACTATGGTATAGAGGACTAATGTAAAATAATTTTTGCTCTTTCATCGCTATTTAAATACACCTCATACACCAGCCAATAGCTATTATATAAAGTTTAAAATGAAAATTCACCGAGAAAACTCGCCGAGAAAAGTAAAAGAAGAAAGAAAGTGCAACTTGAACACACAAGAACACGCGGTTTCTTTTACAGATTTATGCTTTGTCGTTGGTCGTGATTTTTACCGAATATAAACCGAATATACACATTTGTAATTGATCACATAACACATTATACAATTTATTCCGTGTTGGTACAGTAGAATAACTTTGTTGCTCATACAAATTCAATGCTGAGATTACATATCCTGTGCGAGATTTCTATGAGATTAGTTCGTATCGCCGATTCATTTATAATCAACAACTTTTCGACCTTCTGGGGTATCTGTTCATTCATTTGCTTACACATTCGCCATATAAGGCATTGTATATAGTGAGTGGTACTTCAATGTCTGCGAGTACACACACTATTTGAGGTTATTCTAAGACCTCATTTAATTGTTGGCAAATCTTCTACAATTGCATCTAACTCGCTTGCGACAATACAGATAAGTCATTTCTGGAATGATCGTTACTTTTTGGCTTTTTCTCTGTTTGCATTCTTTACAATCAGCTGCATAATTCCCTCTTTGGGCGTAATTATAGTATTTGAAATTTGTTGTTGCTAACGCTTGTTACATTACTTTCGTTATATTTCGGTTTGATCGGTAACTTTTACTTCATGTTGTTATCAGTATTATCAGGATTATGAAAGCTTGCCCGCAATTGGCAAACAAAATTTACATATATACATTTACGAATTAAAAAACAAACAGACAAAAATATACAGAAAATAGATTTTTTTCGGAAAGAAATGAAGCTTTGTATATTAAAAGTGTACATAGTTGATGTTCTTAGTAAGTGTTTGAATGATTGACTCGCAATTATAATTTTGAATATTTTAAAAAGTTCGGACTTTCATGGTATCATCATCAAACATATATATATGTATATATTTCGGTAAATCGTTTATTTCGTATCGTTTTCATAACGAGATTAGTGAATGGATTAACAGATTTATTCTGAGCACAATCACCGGTAGATCACTATTCATATGATTCGGCCAAGTAACGGTAAAACGAGTCTTATTATCTGTCTGTTCGTTTCTGGTACTCCAACGTTTACACATGGATGAGAAAATTACAAAAAAAAAAAACATAGCATATTTGTGCTCTACTCTTGATCAGTTTACTGAGCATTATTATTATTATTATTATAGTAACAGAGTTCTTCAACGGAACAAAGGGTAAAAACTTTTAAACATTGAAGGAAGGTTATAAAGGAAAAGTGTATAAAAAGTGTAAAAAAAGGGAGAAAATATAATTAATTGCTTTGTTTTTATTCAACTTTAAGAAAAACAATGGCAAGTAAGGCTGTAAAATAATTTTTTTATTTTTGCGTTATTAATTTATTTATTAATCAATTGCTTCAGATTGCAGTGTGAAAGATTATTTAAATATCGCAACAGGGAGAAAAATTATTATTATATTAAAGTAATATTTTCACAAATTGCGTTCAATTTGTTTCCTTTTTAACCCTACGTCCCTTTTTACATTTTCCGTATTCGTGCGGTTTTCGTTAGTTAATGACATGCTTTTAACGCAAAATTGATATGACAAGCAAACAAAACAATAATAAAAAAAAAAATGTTATGATAGTTGATTCACAACGAGGACTATGCCAGAAAAGGCTGTGCTATATAATGCTCGATGAGCTCTATGTTGCTAAAGAGCAGACGTTCGGTCAATTGCGCGGCTGAATTGAAGAACGAGATAAATCAGATTTGCCTTTTTGGCGTATAGCGTGCACATTTGCTTATACTATTTTATTCTTCGTTAAACAGATGATTTAAAAAAAACAAAAAAAACCATCGAGAGCGATAACATAACAATAGTAATCAATGGAGCGGATGAGTGTTATTTTATTTAAATGAAATATAAATATTTATTAGCCGTCGGTCTCCCTCTGACTTGTTCAGGCAAACATTTTCATACTGATGATTATGATGATGATTATTATTGTTATTATCGTTGTGGTTATCAAGATTAATTGTACGGACATTTATATTACATATGTTCTGTATTCATATATATGGTTGTTTTTTTTTTTTTTGTTATTGTTATTATTGTCATAATGAATTCAGTAAATTGTTGTTGTTATTGTTTTATGGGTTTTACACGTTAAATGAATGCGGCTTGTTGAGTGTTGCGTTGTTATATTAGACCAATTGAATTTACTATATAGTGATC